ATTCGAGCTGGAGTATGGTCATCTCTGCGGAGCGTGAGCTATACTGTAGGACCGTGACCATCACCAACGGAGGAACATACATTTCTGAGAAGAACGAGTAGGAAAACATTTCCCTTCCGCTAAGGGTCTGACCATTACCACTGTGTCGGTAGACTGAAGATCAATTTAAGTCACACCGATTTTACTTTACAAAACATTGTTAATTTTATACGTTGGTGGCGTTTCAGTTTAAGTCGAAATAAACAGTTAGTATAAGATCGTACACAATATGTCACGGTCTTATAGCTATTTTTATCAAAAGGTGTCACACTGTACATACTAGGTTTTGTTTTTGGTTTTTCCCGGATCTATGTTGCACTCGTTATACTGTTCTTGATTTCCTGGAGTCTATTGTATTAAATTATACAATTATTTAACTTTCAAAAACGTTTAACGTCAAAGTCACGTTTCAGTCCCTTTGCTAGAAATACAACCGACTGCAAATCAGCACCGATAAGTGACGACCGTGACGGAACCTTAAGCAAATGGTCCGTATTAATGCAATCGTAAAGCTTCAAACCGCTAATGTCAAAATACAAATTTTTATCAATCATGTAAAAGTAACCATAAAATTGACCGACAAGTTTTAATAAAAGGCATAGACTGGTTACACCAGTTGGGTGTTGATTATACTGTAAAGGGTATATCTTATATATGTCAAACCAAACCATGAGCCTGTTCATAATACTATGGCTCTCGATCTCTCCCTATATATGTCGATTTCTTCATTGTCGCAAGCGGACACAATTCAGTCGCTCTAGTTATATACAAAACTTCAAAATATACATACGTATTATTACTATATAATTTAATGTATAAACGCGTAACTTATTAAAATAACATTTAGAAGTTCAGTAAATTACCAAATAGACTCCACTATTGATAAAGTAATTAAACTACACATTGAAAATTAAGCCATTACACAATTAAAATGACCATTCAAAAGGTTACCGACACATATGCACCACAGAGGTTTGGCCGGGTTGTTGGAAAAATGCCTTTTTAGTGGTACTTGGTCGAGAGGTTCCAAGATTGGTCGGGTCTCTAGTTCATAGGGGTGAAACCACACCCCGTCGGTTAGGGTCCCCCAAGAATGAGGCGGGGGTTTAATTTTATGGTTATTTCCTGTCATTTAACTGTCTGTCCGGGAGTCGATTTAAGGTTTACATTAAAAAAATTGATCACCGGGGTCACAAACTAAATTGGAAAATTTTTTAGCGCTAAGCTTAGAATTTCGGGAAGGGGAAGCTCAAGGTCAGATTCGAGTGTGTTGTGACCAAAGAGGGTACTTGGTAAGAAGGTGTACGGGACCAGGCGGTTTTCTCAAAAATTGGGGGCCCGTTCTGTGTCCGGGAACAAAAGGGTGTGTGTGTGTGGTGTTGGTGTTGTGTGGTGTGTGTTCGTGGTTTGTGTGTGTGGTGTGTGTTTGTTGTGGTTGTGTGTTGTTGGTGTGTTGGTTTGTTGGTGGTGTTGGGTGTGAAAACCCATTCGAATAAATAGTGGGAAATAGGTGTTTAACATTTTAACCATCGGGAAACGAAAAAATTTTCAATAATCATTAAGGGTTCTAAATTTAAATAATTAACTTTCCCATGTCGATTGTATCTTATTAATTGTATTGGAACTATTAAACCAAGGGTGTTCGTAATCTAGAACAAGAGATTAGGGAAGATGATCTTATTCCAAATGGCACAACGGTGTACAAAGCCTACAAATAAAATTTTGTGAGGACGTTAACAGGATTAACAAAATCTAAAAAAATAATTGTCTCCGGGACCTTTTACACAAAACATTAGGACTTAGGGCACGGGTTTCCCCAGGGGTTTAAAACTGGGGACTGAAATTAAGAGAATTAACAATGTACAAATTTCACTTGGAGGTTGGATTCATTTATGAAATCTAATGTGGGGTTGTAAAAGGTTTACTACCTACCCTATCAACCCCAAAGTGCAAAAAAGGGTGGATTAAAAAAACAAAAATTATAACCCGGGGGCTCATGTTCTCTCCCTGGTAACCTACTGGGACCAACAAGGGAAAACTAATCGATTGCACCCCCAAAAAGGGGGGTAAAACACCCCAAGATACCGGGAACCTTGCGAAAGGTGACTTTCCCAGAATCGGTGTCATAGGAATGGGAGACCGGGGAGTGTCAGCCCGAGAATCCACGTTTTCAGAGGTTTCTACGGGATTACCCCACGAAAAGGGTCTTCCTTCCTCAGTTTGAGGATTTGCTTTGTAAGTTGTCGGGCAACTTAGACCCATAGGAAATGCACCCTAGGGGAGAAAGGGGGGGTGGCCTCCGTCTTGACTGTCGGAAACCTGGAGGAACGGAAAACCCGTGAACCTTCGGGAGGGTACCCAGGGTGGTCGGTTTGGTTGGGGGGAACCCCCAGGTCAGGCTACTCTTAGGCGATTTGCGCCGAAGTTGAATCCCGGGGGGTAAACCCAAAAAAGTGTTCTTATGAACTGGGAGGCAATTAGCTTCGTCTCAACCCAAAAGAAAAACATCCGGGAGTAAGTATGGGACGAATACGTTTCTCCCTAACGGGGAACAATTCACCCGTTCCGGTGACCAAAATTTCGGGATTTGAAACAAATTTTATCCGCATACAAGTCGCCCGGGGAGACATACAGATTTTAGACGGGTTACCATAAAGGTACCCAAATATATACCGTTACAAAAGAAGGTGACCATTTTTGATCTCCGTGACCCGGGGTCTTAGGTCCGGATGGGTTTAATGTTGGGTAAGTCAGAAAACTCGAGTTTTGGTTCAATAATCGCAAAATAACAAAGGGTTACCTATTGGTCAACTCCCCTTTTACGTTTTGGACAAAAAAAAAAGTTTACAATTCGCCAAAAAACCTAGAAACCGCAAAAACTTTTTGTAAGAGGAAGTATTCCTGTGTGGAAGTCTTGTTGTTGCTTCGGGCTATGAGGTGAAGTACGATACGGGGGGTAGGGGTCATCATTTTGAGTCTACAATCCCTAACTTTCGGAGAAAAAACAGGGGGCTTTAGTCAAAAAACCAAAGGAAAAGGTTTTGGTCCCATATGTAAAGGAAGGGGGACCGGTTTATTATTATACCAAAAGAGAAGTTGGTTATAAAAAAACATTCGAGTGGGTCTGTCCACCCCCTATGGGAGTCCTCAGAAGGGGAGCTCTAATAATCTAAATTATTGAGTATGGTATCCAATATTGATCTAAGGGATTCCAATCACAAAAGTTATACCAAGGTTGTATTAATTCTTTTCCCTCCCCCTCTCAGGGTTTAATTTTTGTACAACCTTTCAATTACACCTAAAGTATAAACCTTTGGGTAATAAAAAGAGTTTTGGATTTACAGATATACCTTTCCTTCTTTGCATTAAAGAGGGGGGCGGACTTTTTGGAATTAAGAAATGAGTGGCCATATTTACCACGCTTATTATATCTGTAATTCTTATTTAAAACCCCCCCTGCTTCCCCAAAAATTGATAGGGGTGGTCCCTTGACTCTCGGGGGGGAGGCGGAAAATTGGAATTTATTTGTAAGAGGGAAGACGGGGGGGGGGGGAAACCCCTGACTTTACTTCATATACTTTGTTAAGGACCGGGTACAATTTACTGGATTGGTTTTTGGGGAAAATGTAAATAACGTTTAACGTTTACAACGTTACAACCAGTTCCCCTTTTTCCCGAGGGGGTTTATTTAAGGGACCTCCCCCCGGGATAGGGGATAAAAACATTAATTTACTATTTTAAGCCACGGGATAGGTAATGGAAAAACTCAACACGACGGTGAGTGCCTTTGTAAGGATGTTTTGCACGCAATTGGGGGTTTATTGATCCGTCCGAGACTTCCGGGTTCCCAGCTCTCTCCTTCTCCCAAGGGTGGTTGAAGAAAGGCCACCGGGGTTTCCTCGGGGTCGGTGCCCCGTCCTGTCGGGTTCCGTAGCAGCAAGCTAGCTACCTCTTCCTTACGAAGAATTAGAAGGTGTGAACACAGGCTCCTCTAACCTACGAAGGGGAAGTAGGAGACGGGGGAGCCCAACCCCCGGAAGTTTCGTTCTGTGTGGAACCGGGGGTCCCTGCCCAACCCTCTCCCGGGGGGGAAGTCTCCGAAGGATAGTTATTGTCAAGGGTACAAGTAAAAGGACCTCCAAAAACTACAGGAGGATTGGAGGGGGAGGAGTGGCCCGGTGGGGACCCCTTTTTTTTTTACCGGGGGGTGAAACCTTATGCGTAACGGGCTTGACGGAAGGAGGTCGTCTTATCGGTCTTCTTAGGGTTTCCGGGTTCTTCGGAAGGCAAAGGGTGACCCGCCTATTTTGAGTCACGGGGAGGGACTTTAAAGGCATACAGCAGCCAACCCCAATTAGCGGCCCGCGGGCCAGATCCGGCCCGCGAGAGGCAAATGCATGGCCCGCGCTGATCTACTGGCATTCACTTGTTATAACATAAAAACCTAAAATAAAATGTCCGCGGTTTCGCTTTATTTTGACCTCCGTCGACACTCGTAAACCTGACTCATGACCTTATCGCGTGCATATGCAAGACGTGCTTCGCGCGCTTGACTTACTCGTCACCACCTGGAATAGCGGCAAACACATTCTAAACAATAGCTCGCCAGCTAGCCGCCTGTCATCCCAGCCCAGCGATTGACCAACATGACACTAACGGGCCGTGGATAACTCAAACCCAGGATGGAATTCGCTAAGAAGAGGAAGGTAGACCAGGAGAACCGTCAGTTCAAAACTGACTGGACTGAGAAGTATTGTTTTTTTTACCGGACCACGTCAATGCTAAACCGACTTGTTTGATTTGCATGCAGAATGTAGCTGTAATCAAATCAGACAACCTGAAGCGGCACTTCACCTCTATTCATGCTGCCAGTTTTAATGCTAACTATCCAGAGAAATCCGACCAGCTTACACAAAAGATAGCAGGTTTGCTTGCATCATACAAGCACTCTTGTTTCCACAATGTCGAAAACAACATCGGCACAAGAGAGCGCATCAGCTGCCTCATTGCACGTCTCTTGGACGCTTGCTAGAGCCAAGAAGCTGTTTGCTGATGCTGAGTTAATTCAACGGTGTGCGATAGACATGGCTCATGAAGTTTTAAATCATGATGAAAAACAACAAAAAAAGGTTGTGGAGCTATTAAAGCAGGTGCCGCTGTCGGCTAACACGGCAACCAGAAGAGTAGAGGTTTTACCGGAGGAGTGTTTTTCCAGTCTACTCACGGATTTGAAGAAAACAGAGGCTATATCCTTAGCCATAGACTCGTCCTGTGACCGAACCGACATGGAACAGCTGTCTATGTTCGTACGATTTTTTGATGGGAAGATATTCCGGGAAGAGCTGCTGTGTTTGCTTACTCTGCCCGGGCACACGACCGGGGAAATAATCTTCCACGAGCTGACACAGTTCTTCGAAAATAATGGTTTGAATGTGAGTCAAATCGTCTCTGTTGTAACTGACGGGGCTCCGTCGATGGTTGGAAAGCACAAAGGCTTGGTAAGCAGGCTTTCCGCCGTTAACCCGGCGCTTCTGACATTTCACTGCATCATTCACAAATCAGTGTTGTGTGGAAAAATGAAAGAAACGATGGATACTGTGAAGAGACTGGTTAACTTTGTGCGTGAGAGCTCTAGTCTGCAGCATCGCCTTTTTAGATCGTTGCTAGAGGAAATGTCATCTGAACACAAGGATCTCTTACTACACAACGATGTTCGCTGGCTGAGCAAGGGCCGTGTGTTGGAGAGGGTGTGCGACCTGCGTGATGAACTGGTGTCGTTCTTATCAAGCCTGCAGAGCCAAAAAGCCCATGAGTTTTTGAGCTTTTTAACTGACACCAAGGTGATAGCAGATGTTCATTTTGTGTGTGACATCATGTCTCATCTAAATCACCTTAACCTGCAGCTGCAAGGCAAGAACCACACTGTTGCTGAGATGTACGAGGCGGTTGAAGATTTTCGTTCAAAGCTGCACCTTTTGGAGAGAGATATTCATGGGAGGAAGCTGCACTTTCCACGTCTGCGTGAGCACTGCGAGAAGAATGAAATGCCGGAAGATCCAGTAATGAAGGATTTTGTGTCAAAACTGGCAGAAAACTTCAAGGAGCGATTTGAAAGCTCCCCTAAAATCTCACGTGACATCGTCCTCTTCCTCAGACAGCCGTTCTCTGTGTCAGCAGACGGGCAGTGGACTGGAGAGGCCAAAAGGCTGGTGCCTTCCATAGAAGAGGGAGCTCTTCAGATGGAGGTCTTAGAGATGGGAAGCTCTGAGTTGCTGAAAGCTCAACACAAGGATGCACCACGCACCAGTGTGTGACTTTTGGATCAACGTGGTTCCCCAAGCTCGTTTCAAAAACACCAGAGCTATTGCTATGTTCCTACTCACAATTTTCCCCTCAACATACATCTGCGAATCAGGATTTTCTTCAATGAATGCTATCAAAAGCCAGGACAGGAACAGACTCTCCAGTGCACATCTTGGACAGTGCCTCAGGATTGCCACAACAGAATACAAGCCCAACATCAGACAGGTTGCCTCATCCCGCCGCTCTCACTTCTCTCACTGATTGGTGAGTGAACAACATCAATTTATTTTTGCAATTTGTCAATTCTATTGTGGTATAATAATTATTAAGACAAAAATAACCATTTTATAGTTATATTTTATATGTACATTCATTTCCTAAATAAAATGCTACGCAGCGTAATTAAAAACAAATTATTAATATGATAGAGAAAAAACCTTGGATAATGCAGGGCTTTTAACAACAGCCCACAAACTGGTTAAATTGAATACAACATTAAAATAATATATTAAAAATAAAGTTAAAAAAAAACAATACTATTTGTTATTTACAGCCTGATATTATTTGGTACACATATTTAAAAATGTTAAAACTAATAATGTGGTGTATTTTGGTACGACATTATAAAAGTAACTAACTGAAACTCTCTCTCTGTCTTCCTGTCTTTCCCAGTGTGTGTGTGTGTTACAGTGTTTGCTGAATTGGATGTGGACCTGTCTGACTATTTGATCAGAGTTCACTCTGTTGTTTTATTGTTATGCCCCATCAGACCACAGCAAAATCATTTGTATTTGTTAAAGCATTTATTTATTATTATTGTTAATAAATGTTTGATTTCGGTCTAATTTTGTTTCAAGGATGCATTTTTCTTTTACTCTCAACACAGGGTTTGTTTAATTACTACTGCCACTACTACAACAATTATAATAGAGGTAACATCTGCACATAGTGTAAAACAACTTTTAGTGACCTATAACATTTTGGCCCTTAGCTTGTCATGCTTGAAAAAAATTGGCCCTTTGGTAAATATAATTGGGGAACCCTGCCCTATTGGGACAGTAGGGAACTATGAGCTCTTTATGATAGGATAGAGCCTGACATGAAGGGCTTTGTAGGCAAGAATAAGAGTTCAACATTTTACTGGGAGCAAGTGCAGAGCCGTTAAATGTGGGAGTGTATGTGATCTTTTTTTCTCATTCTTGTCACTACATGTGTGGATCCAGTTAAGACACAGCTTGTCTTCCTATGTGTCTTCCCCGGCAGGATGTAGAGATCCAGACCAATGCGGCTCAGTACCTCCCTCAGATTAGCGAGCTGCTGAACAGAGTTCCCCGGCAGATGCTGCTGCTGCTGAAGACCAACGATCTGCTCAGAGGCATCGAGACCACCTTACAGACCAGAGCCTCGTCCTCGTCCTTCATCAACATGTCCCGCTGCTGCATACGTGCTATGGCCAGGTCAGCAGAGTTGTTCTCTCCTCTCCAGTGACGTGGAACAGGAATAAAACCTGGAAATTAGTCAGCTTTTACCACTTCCCCTGGCTCAAAGTAAAAAAAAATGTGTTGTTGATTGTTATCCTGAAATAAGGTCTGTGGTTAACCCAAGCTGAAGATATTTTCAAGTTTTGTTCTAGGACATAAAATATGTCAGTAAATACCCCACTGGTGACTGTCTGAGGCTTCTATGACTCATAAGAACAGCTAACAATTGATTAAGTGCGAATATTAAAGGTCAAGACGCTGATCATTAGCCGCTTTTAGCTTTGCTGTGGTGACGTGAAGTCATGTGACTGTGCTGTAGTTCCTTTATAGCCTAACGTTAGCAATTTACTTTAAAAAATCGTAAAAGTGGTGTTAATATGTGGAGATTATCCTGCTAAACTAAACAGTTCCTGACTCTTGATCCTGCTGACAGGCACAGGAGGAGTAAGGCCCGGTCCAGGAGCAGGCGGGTGCAGGTCACGCTGGCGGAGTGTGTGCAGCTGTGCGGGCTCAGTGTGTACGAGCTGCTGCTCTGGGTGAAGGGCTGCCGGCTGGGAACCTGGCTCACTGCTCTGCTCACATTTCTGCATTGAGACACATGAAACAGTGGCTTTAGCTCTTATTGCATGTTAACAAATGTTGAACATGTGCTCATACACACACAGGTTACTATTATGGTATTGACTCATTTAGAAACTGTATAGATATACAGTATACATGGACATAAAATGCTGGTGTCTCTGGAAACTGATCTGTCCAGTCAGCTGTATTGAGATACTTTAAAAATATATATATTTCATTTTCTCAAGATACATTATTTGTTTTAGTCTTATGAAAATCAATATGATTATTTTTAATTATATTTTTTTATAAACTTGAAATTGACTTAAACCATTACATTAGACAGGGAATACTGTACATAACCTGTGTTCACAGAGTATCTGCAAACTGTCATACAGCTGCAGGACTATAGTCTGGTGGGAACATTTTCGGTCAAAAAATGGTTACAGTAATGTCTGTTAGTGTCAAAGCTCCTATTTACATTGTTCATGAATTTTCGGTTATATTTATCGTATTATTTAATGTTGTTGGCCTTGTCCTACCACTTACCGTGAGTACCGAGAAAACACAATTACTTGGTTGGATGTTTTAATGATATGTTAATGAGTTATTATTAAAGTATACTATTTCATTTGTTGCTTTCCTGTTTGTTTGAGGATCATTATTATCATTTGCATTACACTGTTGCACAACAAAATGCATGGGACCATGTGAGGAGGGAGGAAGTGAGATAATATGTTTTTAAGAGCAATGGGACGTCCTTTCCTCCCAGCCTGTCCTACAAAAAACGACCATAGAGGTCGAATGTTCAGCAGGTTAATACGACCCAGTCATGTTTTAGTGTAGCACCTCTAGTGGTCGTGTAAGAAACAACATGCTCCCGTTGATTGCAAACGCTCCGGAGGTTCTTTTATTCACAAATAACCCTCTCTGGAAAATCCTAAATTATGGAATAGTTTGGCCATTAAAATGCTTTTTTATTAGATTTCTAGCGAGAAGTATGTATTGTACTCTAGAATCCACGTCCAGTGGATGTGTAGGATCTATAGTTTGATAGATATTACGAAGATGATTTGAGGTCTCGCCAGGAGAACGTGTATATGCGGCAGCTTTCATGTAAAGTTAGCGTCAACCCTCACGGGGTGAAAACAGTATTTCCGGTCACGAAGTTTTCATTATAAAACCGGATATATTCCCCTCACTGTCAAATGATTACACAGTGATATCTGCATTTCTCATCCACAAAAAAACATCAGTTTATCCTTGTTAATTACACAATATTGATTGGTTTAAATTGTGTACAATGCTTTTGTGTTTTTAACCTTTGATTCGGAGTTTAGACACTACAGAGTTTCCAAAGACACTACACTACCCAGAATCCTCAGCTATCCTTTGGGACTACAACATCCGCTTTCCTTTATAAACCCCATGATTAGTCCTCAAGCTCTGTGATTGGATGTTGGAGTGGCAGTGCGACAAGGTTACGCCGAGCGTCAAACAGCTCTTTGAAATGGAATGGAACCACAACAGACAATCCAAAACTGGACTCGGACGGGACCAGCCCAGCCCTCCCCTCCCCCAGAACTACACATGCTGGCTATTGTGTGTTTCTCAAAATGTTCTATGGCACGTCTCTACTGGGAATTGTAGTTTTAAAAGACGTTTTCGTTTTTCCCACAATTAGAAGTTGCCAGTATTAAACTGTTTACACCCCTGGAGGTTTAGGGGATACGAAACACATTGGTGTTATCAAATTAAAAACATATAATTAATAAATGGGTGAAAATTGCTTGTGTCCATAATGGGCAGCATTAATACCCACATGACAGCTATGGTCAGAATAGCTTTATTTAACAGCTGGTCTTATGTCTGTGACCTCTCCTGTTGTTCATTGATAAGCCTGAAACATGCACTTGTATTAGGGATGTTAAGATTTACCGATTCGCATTGGTGCACCGGCATAAACGTTCAAGATGCGAGTGCACCGGTTGAAAGAGTGCACATCGGCTATAGTTTGGGTTGAACTCGCGATGCATCGATTGTAGCGTCTTTGCATATAA